ATAAAGTGCAATATATTGTATTTGCTAATTTTATTAAATTTGATTTAATATAATATATCAGGATAAATTTTAAAAGTTTGAACAAAAATTAAATTAATGCGAGACTTTTAGTTGTTAAATTAGATTAAAGTTTTTGTACGTTTCGCGTATCGATCAAAAAATTGAAGTAAAGTATATTTTTGTGTAAATTTGAGTCAAAAATATACTTTCAATTTCTTTCCTATTCTTGAAAGCATTTTTTGCATTCAATTCATAGATTTGAGGACAAGAAATACTGTCATTTGGGAACACATTTTGTAGATTTCCTTTTTTGCTTAAAAGTTTGAGGTATTTCTTACTATTGCTTTACACTCCAGTGTATTACATATGATTGGGTAATGGATTTCTTTCAATATATTGTATTATATATTCAAAAATCTCTTTTTACGAATGTATGACTTATTCCTTGCACTTCATATTTTTGCAATTTTTATTGAATCAAATAATTTGTACAAATAATCAAACAATTTCTAAAAGTATAGACAATTCTTATAATCTATGTGCTGTATACAAAACTGATGCACTTATGTTTTGTAATAATTATAAAATCAATTATTATTGAACATAGGGAGGACATGTCTCAGTCTAGTGTACTGTATGTGAATAAAATCAACAAAACCTCGAAATCTGAAATATTTACTCAAAAATCCAATGAATTGACGTAAAAATCAGACACTTTTAAGAAAACTCTTATAATAATGGCATTGAATTTAAAGCACTGAAAGTGCGATGAGTTTCTCAACATTTCATTTTATGGGATAAAAGTTTTTATAATACAAAACTCAATTCAATTTACTCTCTTAAAGCGTTTATTAATACCTCTGAGAAAACATTTGTTTCGCACATTTTTTTCATCCTTACTTTTCTTTAAACAAATATATTTCTCAATTTGAGTCATCACTCGAGTGTATTACCCGATCATCAGGTAATGGATGTGCGACTCGTCGCTGAACTCGTATCCAAACAAAAGAAAATAATCACTTTTCGCACATCAATAGTCTATTTCTTGTGATACATTCAATTTGAAGCCTATTTTTCTGTTGACTGAAAAAAATCAAAGATTGGATCTAAAGCTTAGAAAACGGAGAGAGAAAAGAGCGGCTCAGACACCAAATCTGTTTCCAAATGTATCGCCAGAAAAAACTCTCGAAATGATTGAATAGCTATTGAAGTCTGCGATGACTTCTGAATGCGAAGAGCAAAATATAAGTCAAACGATGATATTATCTCATATACAGTGAGAATGTGTTTTAGATAATCGCCAGAAAAAACTCTCGAAATGATTGAATAGCTATTGAAGTCTGCGATGACTTCTGAATGCGAAGAGCAAAATATAAGTCAAACGATGATATTATCTCATATACAGTGAGAATGTGTTTTAGATCAACATTAGGGACGAAATAAAAGTGCAAAAAATATAACTTATATCGCAAAGTAGTACAGAGAAAAAATAGTAGAGAATAATACACTATAATAGAGATACACTATAATAGAGAGAATATTTTTATGTATTAAACCATTAAAATTTGATTCTGAAGGGCATTATAAACGACTTAACCTTTTATTATAGATATATTTGGCTCTCCTTTTCATTCGGTTAATGTGTTTGACTATAGCTATGAAATTGAATTGAATTCACGAAACCATTGATGCGATTGATCTCTAATTCCAACACAAGATTGCATTTGACTTTCGCTTTACATTTCATACCATTGCATGAAATGACAGATTAATAAATATGTGTCGATTAAACTCAACATTCAATCTCTATTTATATTCCCATTTTCCGGGAGAGACTCGTGTCTAAAAAATAATGTGATATACATGTTATGGCCCACAAAACATCAATATGTTTTTTCAGACCAATAATAATCAATATATTTTGGTGTATTATTTTGTAATTTACTAATTTATTACAGTATTAGTTAAAATTTTCTATTTTATATCGCTAACATATTAGAATTGTTGGCAATTTTAAACTTTTTTAAAAAGCTATTTATATACAGTTTTGATGTCTTGATATAAATAATCAGATGGGATAACAACATTGTATTGACTTTTTTGTTTGTGTGGAATATAGCAACAAAAATGCCATTTATATGAGTTTACCGAATGGATGGTCTCATCAAATATAGTGAGCACTCGTGGGATTCAAAGGCAACAAAAGTTGTTTATTTATATATAACTGAAAGCATATAAAACACGCAAAGAATAGGTGTGTTTGCCTTACATTTGCCCAACAGATTGACTCACGTCTTGCAATCATATCTGTGTTACTCTCATATGGCTCTCAAAACACATTAAATATTTATTATTATCAAAGTTAAGCCTAAAATCTGGATTAAAGTAATCTTTTTATAACTTCCATTATACGGATCATAAAAACAATTACTCCGGAATTTATCTAAATATTACAGAAGTTTTACAAGATTAATAAATATCTTATTAAGAAAATAATTAATCTAACTTTAATATTGTATCATGAATTGCTTTTCTATGTACTTTGAGTTATAATTTATTTGACTATATAAAAGTGGAAATAAGAAATTACTTTTTGAAAAATCAATTCTTTGAAATAAGAAAATATTGATTCACATAATCAACAAATCAATACTAATGTTAACTCGAGAGATATATATTATAATTAGTTTTGTTTCAAAAAGTGTTTTAAAAACTTTTCACTAGCATTTTCAAAACAGAGACTAAAATCGATATTTGTAGCAATTTTTCTCAGAAACTTTGCTTTAAATTAAGATTTAATGATTGAATTTTTCTGCAATTTTAACGATAAATTGCAATAAAAAAGAGTTTCCTAAAAAACTAACTAAAAACAACATATTTATAATAATAACGAAAGGATAGCCAAAACTTTCTTACGCCAAAGACTTCTTATAAGCATTCGTTTGTTTCAATTCATTAGAAAATATTTACCAAAAAAAAAATAAATATAGAAGAGATTGAATGCCGGAGGAAAATATCTATTAAACTAATGATGTTTGAGATATTATTTGCTATTTTGTTGAATAACTACTAATATTGAGAGCAATGGACAGCCAGACAATCGAAAACTATATTCGCTATCAAAAAATAAATGTAAAACAAATTCAATTTAATCTTAATTTTTGGATCTGAAGCTCAGATTAATTTCCTTTTAATGCCACCACGACTGACACATCCATTACTTCTTGTCAGACTATCTATTATTTACTTTTCGACACTTTCTCTCTGACTTATATAATACCGATAAATAGGATTTTTTGAGCGCTAATGAAGCCAGATAAATACTATCACAACATTTTGCAAATACAAAACAGTATTCTCTGTGTTCAGTAGTAGAAATGAACTCAAATTTAAATTTCAATCATATCTATTCAACAAAGAAATTGTGTTTTGATTATTGACTTTTGAGTCTCACAATTGTGTTTGAATTGTATGAAAAATTGTCTACAATTTTAAACAGTAATTCAATTGATTATAAATTTAGATTAAGATTCATGTCTTGTTTCCTATATTTAATTTGAACGGCACTTGAGATGTGATTGATTGCCAACACAACTGAAGATTGAATTTTTAATATAAGAAAATATATGTTTAAAAATGAATTTAATTTAAAGAGCTTCTGATTTATTGTTATAAATATCTCAGATTTTTCACATATATTACCAATATTGAATAGAGCTTGTACAGTTAAGTCATAAGTTACTAACTTTATAGCTCACATTTAATTAATTCATTTATTTCAACTTCCAAACTTTACATTCAATAACAAAAAAATAAATATAAAATTATTTTAATATAAAATTTTGACAATAAATGGATGATTTTATGTTTTACTTTTGAAATGACAAAAATTTAATATAAAAGAGTTATATCTACGAGAAAATAGTGACGGAAAGAGTGATATATTGAGCCCTTAAAGACACACCAAAAAGGATAGTAAAGTATTAAAACGTGTAATACTTTGTGTGTATTATAAATAATAAGTCAGTGTCTGTCAGTCAGTCTTGTCTGAGATTAATGACAAAAATAGCACATTCTTTATATAACATAATAAATAAATGTTTTCTATTATATATCATACGACGATATTTTGGACAGAAAACGCTGGTGTGATATTACTATTGGGCCTGAAAATTGTCAAAATTGTGTGAAATTGTGTGGATAGCTATGGATTAGTAGTTATTACAGATTTAGAGACTCTGCGAGAATAAAGTGAGCAAAAAGTGAACTCCTATTCCGTTAGTTGTGTTGACATCAACGCAAACATTGAGAAAATCTTAAGACTTTGCAGAATATTATTGCAGTCATTGATGGCTCTTATTATTTAACTCCGACTTCAAGTGCTGTTTATCTCTTATTAAGACAAATGTTTCATAATATCACACATTATTTATAGCCAATTATATAATTTTATTTTATTATTTACTTGTACGGCTGATGGTCAAATATTTATTATAAAATACTGTTTTATTGCATTATTACTTATGAAACTATCCGTGGTAATTTTTCATGTTAATCATTTAACTTAGTACTTCAATTTATTGTGGTGTACACATTTACATGTACCAGTATACCAGTACTTGGTGACTTGTAATTTAATTGCATGGCTATAATTTATAAATTTGTTTTGATTTAAACTTGAGCATACTATAAGAAACAAAACTTATCCAGTTCAGAATAAGTTTAGAAATAATTATAACAAATGTAAGTAATTAAGAATTGAATTAAAGTGAACGGTCGACACAACTGAGTACTACTACTGACTTAATTATAGGCAATGAGTCTAATTAGCACTAATATCAGCAAAGGATTTAATGGGTGGCAATAAAAACGGAGTAAATAATGTAAATAACAAAACACAGTGTATATCAGTGTGAGACTGGGAATGGCATTCCTTACGGTTAGGGCACACAGTATGACACAAGAGTTAATTTGTTCATTAAAGTAGAATTCAATGAGATTTACTGTAACACCAAATGAGACTCAATCTGAGGGCCAATACATTGGGCGCACAATAGTATTAAATCACAACTGAAGTCAACACAACAACGAGATGTGTATTAGTGAGTGATGTTGGGCTCCCAAGTGACCCACGGAACCAATACTTGGGAACTAACCCCTCGATGTGTATACTCTTGTAGTCGAGTGCCAAGTAATATACAAACACCTGAACACCACTTAAACAGATTGAATGAAACAAAACGAGAAAGATTTAATATACAAACTAATATTTTTTCTATTAGTTCACATTGTCTTACAATAACTGTCTCTTCCTATAAACTAAGCACTCAAATACTAAGGGTATTGTCTCTTGTAATGTAATTCATGTCTTGCTTTATGACAAAATTAATCATAATTTAGAAACAACACAATGTTTTAGATTTAAGCCATTTTCCAGAATAAGTTCACACACAAAATGAATTTAAGGATAATTTACTAAATACATCATAATTTAATATAAGTATTTAATTTATTAGGGTAAATCGAGATTGTTTTTATGTTTTTATTAAAGTAAAATTTAAAAATACTGTGTATATTTAATGAACTAAGAAATTATACTAATTTTATTAAGATTTAGAAAACAAATCAGTTTTAAAAGAAATGATGAAAAATGAAACAAATAAGTGGTAAATAAAGGGAGACATGAATGGCAATGGCCTGGGATTTCTTCTTCTGGGGTTTTCTCGAGTTATCGTCAAACACTTGGATCAGGTGTGCATTAGACGTGTTTTGAGTTGAGGGCTCAGCTATGGTTGTAGTGGTTGTGGTCGGGCGAGCACTTCGGGGACATTTAAACGTGTCTTCAGTAACATTATGACTGACACACTAAAACATAAAGTCATCAAATATCTCAATTATAACCATATTATATAAGTGAACACATGTCATACCCCGGGTGCCTTTTCACTGATATTAGCCGTACAATACATAGAGCCATCAAATAGGACGAGGTGTTTGTGATTGGCCACCGCACCCACGATATCTCGGAGAGTGTTTAAGTCAAACACAGTCTGCATACGTCTCGTCGCCCTATCCTTGAAATGGTCGGAGCCCTCGATCAGGAAATAGAGGAAATAGTTGACGATAGTTGTGTTGCCTTTCTCCACGAGCACCGGCTGCTCGATGTCTTGTATTATATATTTAATGTATTTGCTTTGGCTATAAATCAATACAACAGTCGTGTCTTTCAGTTGTTTGGTTTGATTGATATAAGTGAATGCCGTATGAATTGGTTCGGACGGAAATTGAGGCCAGTTTTGGGTCGACCCACTCGACACCCGTTTGTTGTCTTTGTATAAAAACCAATCCCTGCCCTTAAGTGTAATTCAAGTTTAGTATTTTATAAAGAGATTTGATTTTATAAATTGAATACATTTAAGAAAACAGTAGATTTTCTATGGATTTCTTCATCGATGACAAACCCGGTGTTGATAGGAGTGGGCAATTGAGGCCATCTTTCTATGAAAGACTGTGCGAACTCATCAGTGATGGCCGCTATATCCGTGTCAAACCTCCAGAAATAGTCACCCCTGAAGACGTAATCTAGTCCATCATCGGCCGAGAAGGCACCGTCCAGTTTCATGTCTTTACACAATTTGATATCTGGATCTGCGCTATGATCTGCTTCTGGATCTTCGCTATGATCTGCTTCTGGAACTGCGCTATGATCTGATTCTGTATCTGATCTGGTGTTGAGTCCCATATTTAAACAAATTATAAATAAGACTAAAATCATTTTATCAAAAGAATACATTTTATTTGCAAATTGTTAACAGTTAACAGATTTACGACTAAATTGTGTTGATTTCAAACTTAAATTGCATTTTGAATTCAGAATCAGATTTTCAGATCTAAGAAATGAGTGCTAATAATATGAATCCAATGGAATAATTCTATACAAGAATGCAAATAACAATACTATTGAATGAGAATTTATTTAATAAATTCAATCAAACAAATGGAGAAAACATTTTTTGGATAATTGATTGCCACAAACATATGAAAATTTGATTTGTTTGATAGTCGGCGCCTCTAATTAATGGTCGGCCACATTATCTTACATTACCCTCTGTTATGAATCTCTCGAGAATGTCGTGCAATGTTTGTGATTAATGTATTTTTTGTCGCAAAAAATTATTTTCAAACACAGAGTATAAGCGGAATATATAGTAAAGCACAGTATTGGGGCTCAACTCGCAAATGAATACCCAATTTAAGTGCAAAACCAAATCTAAAAGCACACGAAATGTGAATTGCGATCAAAATTGATTGCATTGAGAGCTTTCTATCCATTAAAACATATCATAAATACTTCACACTTCACTTGACACTCACTTTCATAAACACTATTTTTGATCATAATTTTTTAATTAACTAATAGTTTTTAAATCTAATTATTTTTATATATTTACATATACGTAAAAACCAGAGTTCTCTAGAAGTTTATTAAATAAAATATTATATATCAAGTACTTTACTTCATGATAATGTCAATCATTATTTTTGTTAAAATTCCTTAATTCTACAGGGGCAGAATATTATTTGTTTTGTAGTTAAATTATTTACAACCCAGTCACAAGTATACCAAACTAGTATTAAAATTGAATGGCCATTATATGTCAGTTATGAAATAGCTAAATTATTCAATGGTTATCTATTAATTCATTAACTATTCTCTGTGTTACTATTGAACAAAAATTTAATAGTTTATTATAAGCTATAGCTATAGTATAAGATATTATATTAGATTGGCAAGAGAGTCTAATAGCATTGTATAACATTTGATTGAATTGATTTCAGTCTCTATTATGAAATAAAATTATCAATTTATATACAACATTAAATCAAAGTTAAAATAAAATATTTTGTTTATTCAACACATTTTAAGCATAAATATACTTTAAAACTAAACAAATCAAAAACAATTTTATGGACAATTCTATACAATTCTGTGGTATAATTAGTAAACAATTGTTAAGTGGAAGATTTGGTGGAAAGGCCACTGGCGCTGGTCCTAACCATAGAGCCTTCGGATATCCTTTTGGAGACATGTGATGCCTCATGTGATACCTCACCCTTTGAGCTCACATAACGCACATCACCTTCTGGTTTAGTGACCATCCGTGCGATTATGATGGCCGCCACCAACACTAGACACGAGATACCAACCACTATAGTAATGATCACAATAGCAATGGTAGAGACAGAGGATGAGTCGGTGGTGGTTATGGCTCGGATCTGACCATCACTTTCGTCGGACTTGTGAGTAGGGTTTGGTTTAGGGGTTAGTGTTGAATGGGTATTGACTTTGGGTGCAGTGGTCGTGGTCTTGGGTCTGTCATTTATATTAAGCGGACAATTAAGTAGTTTTGATGTCGACTCTTGAGGCACACACTAAGGCATTCATTTTGATAATCAAATGATTGAAATCAATGTTTGACAAATTAATAATAAGACTAAAGACATGTGATACCTGAGCAGCATCCTGTGCATTTGACGTTAACCTAATGATACAATACTTCTTGGAACCGATGACAACAAAGTCTTTGTCATAAGTGATGATTGCTTTGGGATCAATCAGCTCTTTAAGATCACCATCGCCTTCATAATTTGCTATTGGGTTTATAGCTCTCAATTGGGTCGAGTATATGTCCATGAAGATGAAAGAGGAGGCGCGCACGGCTGTGGAGCCCGAGTCCATATACGTGGGTTTGGACAGCAACTGGAAGTCGTAGAGAATGTACTGGGTGTTGTCGTTATGCAATATATAAACTTTTTGACTTTTGTATTCATTGAAAGCGAGGGTCACTTTTAGATCTTTATACTTTGGCCACTCTGTGGTCAGTCCACTACTCAACAGCTCACCCTTTTTATATGCCGTCCACTTGTCTTTCTGTCAATTTTGTGAACAAATTAATGTATTAATTGTATTCAAAATAACTAAAGACATGAAAGGACAGACCACTACAAAAACGGTTATCAAACTTTTCAACTCTTCTTTATAGATAACAAACACAAGATTGATATCTCCCTTAACTTCTGACCACTTATTGAACACTAAATCTGCGAAACCTATGATACCTGTACTCGTATTCAAAGGATTTGTTTTCCAGTAATAATTATTCTTAAAAACGTAAGTCTGTCCGTCGTCTGAGTAAACCGCGTTTGAAATACCAGTCTC